AGTTTTGTGAACACATTCCGCCCGATATCCTCTCACTGAAGCCTTCAAAACGTCTTCCGAAAAACATATTCCCCGTCAGAAACGGTGCACACTTTTTGACACAGCATGTTTAACTGAGTTATGTTGCCATAGATTTATCGTACCAGTCGGTGGTTTTCTATCTAGATAGGCAGATATTTGGAGGTTTAGTTAACTTGCAGTACATTATGCTGTCCTGAGTTCAGAGGGCTATCACAGCGTACTTCCCTTATAAAAACGTTTAAAGGTTTCTGGGATTCCGCAGATCCGGGTGGTTAGTTAATTGTATATGGAAGGTTTACTTTTTGTTCTCCTTGCACACAAGCATCCACCTCGAAGCAATAGCGAGAGTCATTAATTATTATAAACAATGTAAGTGACTGAAATTATTGTTAACCAATGAACTTCATGCCCTGTTGACTTTATAATACTTTGATCTTTTATGTCATCGGAACGGAGCTCCCAATATATATAACCTTTTGCCCGACTTCAGTCAAAGCCTTCAAATACAAAATAAAATATAGCGATCGTATATTTTTCCAGTAGTTTAAAAATAAAGGCATTTCGGTTTTTTTGCCTTAACACACCACCCGTGCGAGTATTCAAAAGGCTTTAAGAGCTCACCTTATAACCAGTGGGGTATGGTAGAAATACATTTCGCGGTATTTTCCGTAGCGCGTCAACTTAAGATGAAGCGACTTGTGCTTATTCCATTCAGTTGGCGATACCGTAAACCATATTTTAAATATAACCGATACGATTTGCAAACAGGAATATTTCGCTAAGTATCGCACATTTTTCTATTTTGAACACGCCCATAATTTCTCATTTGCTGGTGCTGTTTTCCCTAGCAACCTAAAACTACTATACGTCGCCCAGTTGTTTATCCCCTTGAACGAGTTTTGTATTTCGAAGTTCGTTGTGTTTTATACTCATAGTGGCTGTTTGATTCATCCTGATAAAATATTTGCCCATAACACAGGCTAGCTTCACAGTTTGGAGAACCTTTAGCCAATTAAAAAACACAGGTAAAATCGCCCTTGCTTCTGATCCAGAAGCATATGATTCAGGGGTATTTGGTATATTATTGTTAACTACTTTAAGTTTCCGTGTTCCTTCTTTTGTGGTATCATGATCAAGGCCTGGTTGAGTTTATGTGAAATTTGAACATCCTTCATGTTAGTTTTTGTTTATTTTAGAAACTTCATTATTTGAGTGTAGTTTGAGTCTATTCAAAAGTGAACCGTTCAACTTAACGTGACTGTATCAAAAAGATGCTGGTGGTTTGTCATCTTTAATTATGGTTAACTCAGTTTTCAGAGTTATCGCACTTTGAGTAAATGAAAAATACCAAAATGCAGATAAAGCGTCGGTGTACAACCCAGTTAATTGTTGTGATCCATGCCTCGTTCAGGAGATACAAACTACGGGGTGTAGGATTTGACAGAAGAACACGATGAGACTTAGGTATTAAATGGTTCTATTCAAAAACGCCTTTGAGGATGAAAACTCAGTGTCCTTTCATTGTTTGGCTGAGGTTTCCGAAACAAATGGCATCTCAATAATATTTGCAGTATTGCTCCCGTTTGAATTGTCTGTTTAGACTGTCTGACTGGGTTAAAGGCCTTTAGAGGCCTTTAGATCCAACAGGTCGACTCCAGGCTCTTTTATTATTCCTTATTTTTAAATCATTTTACTTAAGTGAATCAAATTTAGTTTCACCAGCTTTGTAATTCCACAGAAGTACTGTTGGCTTAAACACCGTTTTTGTGTCATATTGCATTCATTTCGTACCAGTTGGCCCCCGTTGCGAAATTCCACCAAGAAACATGACTAACCGTGTGAAAGTATTTTACGGTAGACATCGTAAATTAAAGCGGATATCCGCAGCATACGTTGTTTATTATTCTTACGATGTAAGTTTTGTAAATTGCCAAAGTATGAGGAGTATTTCTAAAAGCTGTATGGCCTTCACTTGTTTGAGGCATACCTCTACCTTCGCCACATTTCATTCTCATGCGCCATAACTTTTGGCTTTAATGAACTTCCTTCCATACATGTCTGGTAGTAACTAGTTTCTGTATACTCTGTTTACTGTGTAATCTATAACGCTAAGGTAATTTATCCCAGTGGAAATGCCAATGAATATTTCTACACTGGAAGCATATGAAGAAAAACGTCTTATTAAAGCTACCATACATTAAACCGAAGATAAATTTGGGAAGTTCGCTTTCCTTTTTGAAACTCAAGGACTTACATCGCTATCTACGTTGCCATCAATATTTTTAGACTGCGGTGGACCATACAAATATGTTTAGTCGCTTTTAGTTTATCATTTGGCAGGTTTATTACTAAAGATACGCCGTACTTTTGAGCGGACAGTCCGTTCTGTGAATTCGGCGAACAAGTCAAGTCTGCTACACAAAAAGGGCTACCAACTATCAACAGTCCAACATATTTTCGATACGCCATTTGTTATTAGGATCTACACTAATTCATGCATGCATATGTTTATTACAGAAAACAGGATGGTGGATTCTGTGACATTTTTCTCTTGATTGACCGCGTGTCCGAAGCATGGTCTTGGACGGTCTGCTCATTAAAGGCAAATCCAACGAGCATTTTCATGTACTTGACAGAATTTGGGCTGGATTTCTAGTGGGCTATATTTATAATTGATAAATATGCAGAGTTGTTGTGATTCTAGTGGGAATGTCTCACTTGAACTCCCACTGAGCGTAAAATAAAAAGAAAACTCAAGCATAATGTGGTTGCTTCGGCCCATTGTGTTCGAATATTCCTCAACTATGACCATTTGATTTTCACTTGTAATGCTGAGCTCTAGAGTAGAGAAGCTTTTAAAATCTCTATCTGTTAATTTGGTTTGCCTGGTTTAAGTGTGGGGCGGAAGGTGCCGGTTTTAAATTTAAATGTTTAATCTTGCAAGACACTGCGTTTCTGTCTTTTACATTTCTGTTAGCAGCCGGTAAAAGCTGAATTGAATGAGGTTTTGCATCTAAAATCTCCGTAATATGACTGACAGCTACATGTTAAGCATGACCAATGGCTGATTCTCAGAAGGAGAGCTTTACAGCTTTTAGCCTGCATTTTGCGCGTAACAACGGATATGCCTACCAGGGCAACAGCTATATCAAGGAGGCCCTAAATTGATTATGTTTACGCGCTATACTCCTAATCGTATTGGGCCATAAATGGCACTTTAGTAGCTGAGGATGAGCCGGGCAGTTGGGTCAACTGAATTCACCGGCTTTCACTTATTTGCTTTTCGAACGTTCTTCGGAATAGATTGTTTGTTTCGTCTGCTTCTGCAAAAAGATTGTGATAATTTGGAAAATTTTCATTATGTACTTTTTAATTTTGGTGTTGCTCGGGATGCAGGCTGACGCAGTATCTGCTGCAAAGGGTTCCAATTCTCTTGGAAGTGTTGTTTGAATTTATACAAAGGTCAAATTCTGCAGAGTACCTGTCTTTGGTTAAGCAAATAGCACCCTACATGTACTATATGGTAGCCAAAAGATGAATAAAACTTGGATACATCATTTTTTTAGCATTTAATTGAGGTCTAGTAAAAGTTTTGGGGAACTCGCTTTGTCATCATTTATGTTTGTTTATCAAGATATTGGAGTAATGCATTTCAACCGAGTCTAAAAACCTTGCGTTCATTCCTGTCGTCTTTGGATTCATTAATATTTCCACCTCCATTTTTTATAATAGGGAACGTTAGAGTCGTTGAAATGTTTGGTTGTTTGTCAGAGATTGCATGAATCGGTCAGGATCGATCGGAATTATTGTATTTTGTGTTTCCTTGAAGTTTGGTGGGCGAATAATTTGAATGAGATTGCTCAAAACTAGTCGCTTGATGCCGTCGTACATGAGTTAAGTAAACAAATTTCACTGTCAGTCGTTTTGTACACTGCGGATCCCGCATAATGATGGACTGTACCGTCAACCCTTGGAATAAGTTCTTGGTGGTGGTCGGTTTCGCTGGCTTGCATTCTCCATGGTGGTTAGCCACAATCAATCACGGTAATAATATGAGTTTGTAGACGCAATTGGTAATATTTCAAAGAGATGTTGGTTCCCTTTTTCTACGTTTTCCACTAAGGTGTCCCTTGGTTACTCCAATTTATCGAAAAGAATTCAAAACAGTTCCTTCACATGGTGAAGATTCCAGGCTCTCAGTGTCATTGTTCCGTATAATTTGGCGCACAGTTATTCCAGATGCAATAGCAACACGGTAAAAATGGCTGCATAAGTCATTCACTGTCCTATGAGGACTCAAGAATTCGCCCGCCCAACTTTCGTTTTAGTCTTCCCGAATCTAAAAGTGTGCGCTGTTTAAGTTCCAACTGCTTCAAAACCGCTGCATTTTGCTTTCATCTGTTCCTACTAGGCAGATGATAAGGTTCCTCTCTAGCTACTGACAAATCGGGTACGGCGAGATGATGGCTGCACGATCAAAGAATCTTCTTTGAGCGTACGTTTCTCGCAATTTTCGGGCTTATGGAGTGTTCGTAGATATCAAAAAATACGGGGAATGACGTCGTCTGCTCGATAAACTAACACTTTGTGGTGAGTATGTCTATTCCTGCAAGAAAACGATGGGTACAGTAGTGCGCTTTTTACATGACGATATTGAGGAAACTGGAGGGCTGGCGTCATGTACACAATCCAGCGCACAAAACCTCCATCATCTACATAAGATAATCCATGAATTCTGGCTTACACCAAGGCATAAAACACGCCACCGAGGATGTCCAGGCTCACCCTTTAATCCGTTTATTATCCATCAATTCTGATTTTCGTACAACGGAACAACAACAACCGAGGAACTGTGGTTATGAATGAGCTATTCATGTGATCTATACTATCCTGGCCCAAGTGTTTCTCTCTGGTGTAGCAATATCTGAGACTAACCCGACAACTTTTAATACAGCGCACCAAACTGTAGGCACACTCACCCAAAAATTTTTGGTACAACACAATGACGTGAATCAACGGGATGAAAATCCACTTTCGTTAGGGTATGATAAGCTGGAGTTATTCTTCCTGTCACAAAATACTGAACATCCTGCCTTTTAGGACTTTAATTTAAAAAAATGGTTCTTATTTAATCGACTGTCATCATTGCTTGATTCGTTCAAACACTTTGACGTTTCAGTTCAATTTTCTTCAAGTAGATTGTCAAGTTACATTTTGTAAATTAAAACCATGAATGCCATGTACTTTCGACAACGTATCTGCTCCTGGCGTCTTCATGCCCTACAAATTCTGATAAGTTACTTCCCATCCATCGCCTACCCATGTCTGGGGCATGCCTTTGGAACTTTCAACCGGGCGGTTTGGTTTTTAGTTTTTTCGGGATTTGATGTTTTGGGTATTTTTTGAAATTCGCTGCTTCAGCTCAAGTATTCTACTTAGATAAAGGCCACTAATAACCGCTGAAAATCCTCTATGTCAGCCTTGATAAAAACTGCCTGCATGATTGTTGTGGCGTTTTGTACCTTTATTTTACTTCCATTATAACACTACGTATTTCATCAATTGCATAACCATTTTTTGTTTAAATAGGAAAAACTACAAAAACGCGCACTTGTACAATTTGACATGAATGCAAGGGTGCTTACGTGCTTCGAGAATCTCTTCTGATTTCGCTCGCGCTTGCAGCGGTCATACGCGAGTCTCGTGTACTCACTCTGGTACCAAAATATTTCAGACATCTTCGGAACCTATTATACGTGGGAACTGTTCAGAAGGAGACCTCTGGACCAACATAACTGGATTATCGTTTATTGGCTGACCTGGACCAACGACGAACTATTTTAAAGAGAACAATTTTTAGTGAGTCTGTTCCATCTGACCTCTTTAGTTTTGCATACCCAACCTAGCGTAATTATTTTTATTTCTTTGCCACACTCTCCTGGTAAACTAACTTATTGGGTAGCCAGACCACTACATGGTGGTCACCCTGTAACCAATAGTTTACGGTGGAATGATCGCTCCGGGAAGCTGTTGTGAAAAAAGGTGAAGGTCTCCGTTTTCAACAGTATACCACATTGTTGGGATCACCTCAAGTTCAGTGGTGTGTTCTGTACTACCAGTTTGCATTTCCATGTCGAGCTAGCTTGGTTCCCACTCCCACACATCCCCTGATACTTCAGCCCCGACATAACTAGTCCCAGCTACAACCCAGGCAATAGACGACAACTTAGCGCCTACTGCTCATTCGAACTCTCGAAAATTGCAGTCCAACTCGCTGCCGGTTGGACAGTCATTATGGCTTCGGACGGAATGTTTGCTCTCGCCCTGGGAGTCATTTCGAGCGAGGATGTTTTTGTCGCTCCTGGTTAGCCTTGCTCTCAGGGTGACCAGTCACTTTCTAAACACAATTAAGTTCACTATCTGCACCAGACGGACAGCTAATTTTCCCATATGCTATATCTCATTAGTCCGTTACATCCCTGACCACAGCGAGAAGACCGCTGTTAAGTCAATCTCCTTCACACCCAGCTGAGGCTCATAGTTGTAAACTGAACCTCTCACGGAAAGCATGCTGTTGCTTTCCTGCGACTCGTCATCCTTGCTTCTTCGCCTTGAAGAAAAACCGTTCTGCGAATCCATCAGCTTGTTTTCAACAGGCGCCAAGGCTTTATCATACTTCTTTAGCTGTCCAATCTGCTGAACCCGCTGTGCAGGTCTTTGGGATCTCCTTTCTGTACGGGTACATTGATGCCGTTGAATCGGCAGATAAATGAATTTGTAGACCCACAGATTCACTTACAAGCTCGGGAATTCTTCCCGATTTCTAGCAAGGGCTTCATCCTCGCCGCTCAGCAGCCCCTGTTTGTCAGAATGTTCCTGGTGTGGAAGGGTATACACCACTCTTCTAGGTCTCGGTATACTTCGAATAAGCTTCCGTGGGTAGGGCCCCCAGAACAAGGTGTATTAAAGTGATACCACCCGTGGGTTTGATGTAGGGAAACAGCTGC